ACAGAAACCATTTTTGCCTATTTTGTGGCCCCAAAATGAAATAACAGCTGCTGGCTGGCTATTGTTCTAATTGCATTGGTTAATATTGGGAAAATTTTTCTCTTCGAAGATCTGGCAACCCTGGGCCCACATAACTTCCTTTCTTCCCCTCATGTGCTTCCTGTCTCAGGGAATCCCGTCAGTCGCACCTAATGACCAACGGATATATCTTGCCTGCGTGCTACGTGCCCGGCTCACGTCCATTTCTTGATGATTTCAACTAGGATATTTTCAATTCCGGTTTGTTCACTGAACCACTCTGCTCTTCTTATATTTTAAGGTTACATCTATAATTTCCTTTTCATCGCTCGCTGCATCGTCCTCAATTTAGGCTGAACCCTCTTTGTAAGCCTCCAGGTTTCAGCTCCGTAATGAAGTACCGACAAGACGCAGCTGTTATATACCTTTTTCTTGAGAAATTGTGGCACTCTACCAGTCATGATATTAGAATGCTTGCCGATGGTGCTCCACCCCATTCTTACTCTTCTAGATACTTCAGCCTCGTGGTTCGGCTCCGCGGGTGCTACATGTCTTAAGTAGAAGTACTCTGTCACAACTTCGACCGCACTGCTACTTATCTAGAATCGCTGTTCTCTTCCGAGGTTGTTGTACATTATAGTAGCCAGAGCAACCATGACTATAATGTAAGAGCTAGCAGTAACCCAGATGACATCCAGGAACGCAATGGCTCGCAACCAGGAACGCAATGGCTCACTGACAGACTGTTTTCAGTTCTTTTTTGTGTGTTAATAAGAGACACTTTCTAAGGCCGATTTCGGCAACTTCTTTTATGTTTTGCGCTTTAACTTTTTTTTAAATAGAGAGCGTATAACAACGTCTCTAAGAATGGGCTGCTTGCCTTTCACAGCACGTTGTGTAAAGACTTGTTCACTCCTTCGGCTAGCACCGGTCAAGCCACAATTTGTACCTGGGGACAAAATTGTGACCGAAGGCGACCGATGTTCACACAGGCGAGTGGGACCTACCGGTCACGACATAGAAGTCACGTGCCCTCACCACACCTTCGTCTCGCAGAACCAGCTAACGTGCTGTTCCCGCATACATTCGATTGGTTGCAAAGTTTCCGACCGAAGTTACATCACGGAAGAGTCGGGCAGCGATAATGCTTAGCCTAGCCAGTAGCTTTGCGACCATAGCGGTCATTTGCAACCAGCTGCTTTCTGAATGACTTGTTCTCGTGATCATGCGATAGTTTTAGAAAAATCAAAACGGAAGGACAAGGAGGTTAGCCAGGGTTGCTTGTTAGGTGTGAACGGACGTCAAGGGCAGAAATTTGTCATGCGGCAATATTTAAAGGAACAGTGCAAGAGCAACAGCTTGAATCTCTCTAACAACTTTCTAAAGTTGACATTTCAATATCATCACAAGAACACGCCGAAGCACTGAATAGAAAATTCGCGTGCAAAAAACTACGGAGCAAAATCGACATCGCTGACGTCGCAAATTTTACAAGTAATCATAATAATAATAATTGTTGGGTTTAAACATTCGAAGAGCACCATATGGTTATGAGAGTTGCCGTAGTTCAGGGCTCCGGAAATTTCGACCTCCTAGGGTTCTGTAACATGCGCATAAATCGAAACACACGGGCCTTGAGCACTTTCATCTCCATCGAAAATTCGGCCGCCGCGGCCGGGATTCTTTTACGCGACCTGCGGGTCATCAGCTGAGTGGCTTAGTCACTAGACCAACGCTGCGGGTCTTTCGGGTAATATAATACCTGTTTTGGTTGCCAGCTGCACTCAAACAAACCTCGCGGCCCATTCTAGGAAAAACGATTCAGGAAATCTAAACTGGTGGATTCGGGCCAACAACACTTGTAACGATGCCATTATTGTCGCCGAGTAGCAATTAAGCAACCACTGCCGAGAGCTGGAATGGGGCAATTACGCACGAAGTCGATCGCGCGTAAGCGCGTCAAAGAATACGCATGCCCAACATCGTACACAAGCTGGCCTGCTACGTGCCAACCAATGGCCGAAAGGAAGAAAGAAGGGGGGGGGCGATTATATACCTTTTTTTTTGGCCTTGCATGCTGTCATGAAGAGCCGCTATGAACCTTTTTTTTAACATTTTATATTCCAGCTCAGTGATGAATCTCTTTTTGCAGCGAAGCTGTTTATTGCTATAGACCTATTCCAGGCTTGTTAACAGTGACAGGTGCCGTCAGCATACTGATTGATTGATATGTGGGGTTTAACGTCCCAAAACCACCATATGATTATAGAGACACTGTAGTGGAGGACTCCGGAAATTTCGACCACCTGGGGTTCTTTAACGTGCACCCAAATCTGAGCACACGGGCCTACAACATTTCCGCCTCCATCGGAAATGCAGCCGCCGCAGCCGGGATTCGATCCCGCGACCTGCGGGTCAGCAGCCGAGTGCCTTAGCCACTAGACCACCGCGGCGGCGCGCCGTCGACATACTAAGGCGCTTATATAGGGCCATCGTATTCAGGCGCTGTGCTTGGAGGAAGCTTCGCAGTTGTTGCTTGGCTGTTGTTCCAGTTGTAATGTAATATAAGAGGGGGTGGTGGCAAACTTTGGGCTGGGCGGAGCTGCCTGCCGCGACGTTGCTGCAAGCGGTTCAGTATATCTACAGCACCTACCACTCTTTACAAACAAGGAATAGGTTTATTGAAAAAACCTAAATTCGCCCGTCTAGGTCAGCAAAACTCCTAGCGGGTATTTGCCACCGATATTGGACAAACACCACTGCTCACCGCTGGTCTTTCGAAATTGAGAAGGTGTTCGTACGCGTAACTGTGTGTGTGCCACAAATATGGCCAGATCCAAGTATTCACCAATGCTCTACAGAAAATGAAGAATAGGACACATGTGTGGCCACACACACAAACATTTCCGGGCAGATGTAATGAATAATTCGGCAGACACTAATTAGCCATCCAAACTAGCTTAATCATATGCCCCGGGGCCATTTCGGCTTCGCTGGTTGCCCATTCGTACGGAGTGCATTAAGGGGGGGGGGTATTTTTTTTACGTATTTTTGAGCAACTAAAGGCCTCATTTACATGTTTGCCTGCGCAAGTATTCGCTAACAAATATGTATGCTTTACTTGCAAACTCTCGAGTGCGAAGTGAAAACTAGTTCAATTGCGATCAAAGCACCACAGTGAACGTGCCATCTCCACTAAAGTGCTCGTGAAGACGAGTATGAGGGCACGGAAACGACTGATTGCCAAGAGGCTTTAAAGGATTCATTTCACCAGTGTGAATAAAAAAGTGCGATAAATCAAATCATAAAAAATAACAAGCTTCACACAATTACATCTTGACTGCTTTTTAGATGCACCGCGCTGAGGTCCGTACGTCTACGCAACTTCGCTTGCTAAACAGTGTAAAAAAAACACTGTCGACTGCGATTGGCGTACTGACTGATTGCCCCTTATAAGTGATGAGAAACATCTCCGTGGTATAGACCATTCAGAGGACATACAAACCTTGTAACGCTCAAAAAACCCATGAATGTACACTGTGTTTTATTGAGTATTTATTCTGCCTCAGTTTACTGAACTGTTATCAGGCCCTACTTTATAACAATCAATGTCTTGTGAGTCTGAATGCAGAACGAGAAGCCGGTGTAACAATACCGGTACCTGCTCGAGTTCCCCTCGATTTCACCCCACTTCCTGTCTGCCATCTCGTTTGCATAATACTGTAGTTCTAAATATTTGACTGATGCCCCGCCACGGTGGTCTAGTGGCTAAGGTACTCGGCTGCTGACCTGCAGGTCGCGGGATCAAATCCCGGCTGTGGCGGCTGCATTTCCGATGGAGGCGGAAATGTTGTAGGCCCGTGTACTAAAATTTGGGTGTACGTTAAAGAACCCCAGCTGGTCAAAAGTTCCGGAGCCCTCCACTACGGCGTCTCTCATAATCAAATAGTGGTTTTGGGACGTGAAACCTCACAAATCAATCAATCAAATCAAATATTTGACTGATGTTTTCCAACAGAGTGGCCTAACAACAGCAGACTGCCACTCAGTCATGTGTTCTACACCAACCACTGTGCCACTATTCATGTTACGTGTGATGATTGCATTACAACTTTTAATAAAAATGAATCACCTAGAGCAGAGGTTGCCCAAGAACATACTCAATAAAAACTTTTAAAAAATACGGCATGAAGCGATCCCTTCGCTTCCGGCCCGTGGCGGCCGCTTGACTGGCTTCGTGCCGTACTTTTGAAATTTTTTATTAAGTACGTTCGTGGGCTAGACAGGCGTTACTTGTCTAAAGCATTCTTTTCGTGAAACAGCGCATGTGTTCACCATGGATGTGTTAAAACATAACCATGAAACAGAAACTGTATTTAGGAATCAGCGTCCTATTTTTATCCATTTCGGTGATCGGTGTAAACAATTTGTGCGCATTCTGGTGCCTGTTATCCTTCAGAAATGACCTTCAGATGAAGTAAAGGTTAATTTCCTTTTAATGCCCCTTCCTCCCGCACTCTTACCGTTCTCCCTGTGCCGGCTCGTGCTGGAAGAAATTGCGTGAGTGCGGAAGTAAGTTTGAGTAAGTAAGCGGAAGTAAGTTTGAGACTCCTGAGCTAGGGAGACAGGGCCAGAAAAAAGACAAAAGAGCAGGAAGAATAGCTAGAGACCTACCCCACCTCCTCCTCTGCAATTGTTAAGCGTGTAATTTGGAAGAAAGCTTCGACAAGAGAAGACATCCAGGATCCACTCGCCATACATAAAGTATATGCACAACCCCATGCTCCAAGGCGTCTCTAGGTATTGGCACGTTCATGGCCGACTTTGCGCAATAATTTCACAATCGTGTCACTACGCTTTTGGCATGCTCACCTTCGCCAGATGTTTTAGTTAATGTGTTTGCAATCTTCATCCGGCTGAAACTTTAAAGTACTGTTTGAATGACCAACGATCATCTCAGCTCTTTGTTCTTCTTTTTGCAGGTGATAAAATTTAAGAACTACTTCTACGACACCAGATTCCCCACATTTCGGTTGGCGGTGTGCACCATGAACTTCTGCAATGAACAAGAACTGCAGGAGTTGGCTAAAGCAAGTACGTCAGCATTAGAACTTCAATTTCAGTAAAAAAAAAATATGCCAAACTCTGATTTGCGCTCTCAGTGAGTCATTCATTGAGGATTTCTTTCTTTCTATTTATGTTTTGCAGCTTGGTTTCCCCATGCAGTGCAGGCTCTTCAAGGCCGCTTAACACGATCATACTACATTATCAATCTACCGGCTCCCGCAATAAAATTGAGAGACAGTTAATTATATGCATGTTCCTTTTTTTATCAGCGTTGCTAATTCTGCAGTTGCCTCATAGTGTTAGTCAAAGCCCACTTCCTTCACCATAAGCGCGATAACAGTTTCCTGTTATTAAGACTGTCTTTAAAAAAAACTGCAGGGACACACATGAGTGGCACTTCACGGCACGCATGCACTTTTGCGACGTTTTTGGACATGTCACTTCTTTTTTGACAAAGTTTATGGGGGAGCCATCAATGGTAACATTTGTAGTAGGTGTTTTGTGTACCTCGATCTAATTTCAAAAGGATTGAACCTTTCGAAAGGTAGACAACGAATGCACGAAATCATTACGGCAGGGCTATAGCATCACCTACAGGGTCGTTTGAGTTGAGCACCAACTAGGCGGCCTTTTTCGTTCCGAATGTTTGAAGATACCACATACCTCATCGTGACTGACGCATACTGTGCACCGACCATGAACGACAACATTAATTTGCAGTGTCAGTGTTTCCTGGTTTTCGCAGTTATTCCTCCTGTGATGGATTTCCAGGTCAAGTACTGCTCGACCAATGAATACCACCGTCCAACTTTGACGGAGCAAGTCATCCTGTGAGTGTACCATGAAATTCAAGCCAATAGGCAATGCGTATATTGAAGCATTATATTTGTTCAATAATGCCATAACCGGTCTTGGTTGAATAAACCATGCTGCACCACGTGAGTTCTCGTTGGTGTGCCGGCTTCAGTAATAGTAGGTTTTGCATCGTGCATGGCTGAAATATTCTCTTACTAAAGTTTTCCGCATAAGACGCTTTTGTGAGTACAGGCTCTATTCATCGGAGATCCTTTTGAAACATTCAAAACAATCAGTGAACATCCTATTCGAGCTTTTTTTATGGTTTTCAAGCACTACAAAAAATTATTTTTCTTGTATTTTGTTTTGTATAACTCGGCCCTCGCTTCAAATATGATGTCACAAATCTCACCTACCTTCTCGTAAAGAGACAATTGTGGCAGAGTAAAAACTCGGCAGCCTTGGCAAATTTGATACTCTGCTTCTATAGCCGCGTTCACAATACAGCTCTTTGGCCAGTTAATATTTTCATTTGCTTTCCTCCTTCGATAACGTCAAAACGCTGTAAGTTGTGGCCGAAATAATCTGCTGCGAATGATTATGGCTAAGGTGTTTCATTTCGACAACGGGTATATGAAGAATCGCGGCTGGTTTCTTCCATCTCTGCCATGTTCCGTATAATACCAAATAAATCCCATCGAACGTCCTACGTGGAGTAAAATTAGGTGCGCGAGCGTCCCGAACAGATGCAGCTGTAGCAGAGATGGAATGGGCCGGCCATCACCGTCACACAAATGGCGTATGCGATAGAATTGACTCTCTCGTTAATTTTCTGAAATTGATTAGACTTGGTTTAATATGTCCCAAAAACACCCTGTATATATGATTATGGGAGACGCCGTAGTGGATAGCTCTGAAAACTTCGACTAGCTAGGGTTTTTTAACGTGCTCCCAAATCTGAGCGCATGGGCCCAGCATTATCGCCTCGATATAAAATGCAGCTGCCGCAGCCGGGGTTTCATCCGGCGGCCTACGCATCAGCAGCCGAGTACTTCACCTAATGGACCAACGGGGTGGGGCTTCTGGAATAGAGCTAATACAACCCCCCCCCCCCCCCCCCCCCCGAGCGTATGAGAACTGCCGTCGGTGGCTCCGCAAGCAGATAGCAAACACCTCACTCATCTCCCGCCGGGCTAAGAGCACGTCGCTGGAGTGCAAAGTGCGAACTTTGATCGAAGCCATGTGGCTCCGAACGCTGGTGCACGTGCTATCACGACAAGCACCCGTAGACGGCTCTCATATCCTTTTTTTTTTTGAGCTGGTGTGCCCTCACCGCTCACTTCGCGTTCAAAAGGCAGTGAGCACAGAAAGTGCTCCGCTCTCAGGGGGAGCCGTTTTTCCTTACACGAAGGTTCAGTTTCACGCGAGCTCGGGCACAACAGAGTTAGCTGCTATTCTGACTTTGTAAAACATTCCAGGTTTTAAATGCGAAGCCTTCCTGTTCCAAACTTCGGCGACTTTGAACGTATCTATCGAGCCGCCTACGACAATTAGCTCTCCTTGTCCTTCCGATAATGGTATCGATACCAAAATTGGTATGGTATATTATGACTGTATGATCACATTGATGAGCATAGGTTACTAGTGATGACATGAAAATCATGACAAGTATGTCATGAATGTTATGGTTTACATTTCATGGTATTGCTACTCCTACGGCGGTTTCATTCTCAGGCCATATTGCAGAACTGGAATGGTATAAATTTACGGTACGGCGAACATAAGTGACAACTTGTAAATGATGACATGCATGTCATGACCACACACCACGCTCGCGGTGCGCTTGCAGTCGTTTCGCCAGCTTCACATATACCAAATTTGGTATTACAGGACGTGAAGGATGACGAAGTTATGTGAGCGCTGCAAACATGATAATCATGAGATGTGTGTCATGTAAAATAGGACTACATGCTACGTTCATAGCGCACAGGCGGCCGTTGCGCAAGATCCCCATATATTATGATATGTGGGGTTTAACGTCCCAAAACCACCGTATGATTATGAGACACGCCGCAGTGGAGGGCTCCGGAAAATTCGACCACTTGAGGTCCTTTAACGTGCACCCAAATCTGAGCACTTGGGCCTACAGCATTTTCGCCTCCATCGATAATGCAGCTGGTGCAGCCGAGTGCTCATTTGGTATATCGTTACGTGAATAGACTATGGTGAAGGTAAATGACGCATCCAAACATAATAATCATGACATGGAAGTCTTGTACGGCATAATTTACGTAAGCCTCGTAATGTTGTGCTGATTTTAAAGCGACATATCAACCTTTCTTATTCATGCTTCGCATATCATCGATTTTCTCTGTACGTGGGATCTGCCAATTTTTTAGCTACTGTTGTGTGTGTGTATGTTTGTGTGTGTGCGCGCGATTAATGAGTCGAGTTTATTTACTTTCAAGCCGGGTGTTTCAGGTGGCATACATAACCTTGACGTGGCAGTTATAATTGGTCGTCGCAGTCAGCAAGCGACTGCCAGTTGTCCTAGCTGATGAACGGTTCACACTATAGCCTCCGGCTTGCAATAGGGACAGGTTGAAGGCTATGGTCCCCTTTCGTTTCAGCTGGACTGCTGTCGCTGCTTGAGAATGTGTTCAACTCTATGCAATACGAAGGAGGGTCCCCACCACGGTGGTCAAGTGGCTAAGATACTTGGATGCTGACCCACAGGTCGGGGGATCAAATCCCGGCTGCGGCGGCTGCATTTCCAATGGAGGTGGACATGCTGTAGGCCCATGTGCTCAGATTTAGTGAATGTTAAATAACCCCAGGTGGTTGAAATTTTCGGAGCCCTCTACTACGGCGTCTCTCATAATAATATGGTGGTTTGGGGGCGTTAAACACTACGTATGAATCACTGAATACGAAGGAGCTGATATTGACCAACATATCAAAAGATGAGCCCAAGCAGAGACGAAAACCATTGTCGTAACAGGGAGAAAGCGCGCGTACTCGCGTACTCCAATGACATGTCGGTATATGTCATTCTTACGCTTTCTACTTCAATCTTTCTCATTCCTTTATTGACAACAGTTGCCGCATATGCATACTTTTTTTAATTCACCAATACTGTTCAAGGTATCCTTCTTTTGTTTTCCTTGGCTGTGGAAACAAGTTGCGAATAGAAATTCGTGGCCACCGTGTTTGTAGTCAAAAAAGTGAATGTCGTGTCCCTGACCAGGCCAACAGTCCTTGTACGATTGGCGTCAAATCAACTTTGTCGGCGGAGCACGTGTCGCAAGTCTTACCGAAGGTGTAGCGTGCGATTTCCAGTCCACATGATAGGATGTCATTAGTTGGCAGATTCTGAGTGGCCGACAAACTTTGCGCTGGAGCACTCCAGTCTGGCGGAGAGCAAGAGAAGGGAATCAACCAAAGGAACACACATGCTCTCTCTGGAGTCATTGGAAGGGTCAGAATGAAACGTGATGCGCGCGTCTCTTTTCTTGCATGAGTGAGCACGCTGGGCATAGTGACGCTACGCTAGCAAAACGTGAGCGCCAACGCGAGGCACCACTGAGGCGACCGGCGTCCGTTGGTGCGCCAAAAGTTGTCACCGCTTCAAGGCTAAGGGTGCTTGCGACTTCTGGTAGGATCCGCCGGTTTTCACGGGGCAGAAAAAGTGACTCCGTAGATTGAATCTCACTACAGAGCGGCTCCAAATCTGCCAATGGAACATATAAGGAGAACTCTCAATCTGCCAACGGAACAGACTTGCTCCTCATGGAGTAGAAGAAAGTATTATCGGAAGTGCTCCGAAACTGCCAATGAATGACACAAACGGACAGATCCGCTCCACATATAGTGCTGGAATATGGCAGATGTATGTGATTCCCTGGCAGTAAAATATTTTTGCTGCTGTTCTAGTTCTGACATTCAAAATGAAGGCAACAAAAGTAATACAAAATAATAGTGAAACCAGAAAAAGCGCTCGGCACGCCTTTGAAGACCATTACATTCACCACGTCCGAACTAGAACGCAAGCATAAATAATATAACTAAAATAAAGGAATGGCGCAGTGCTGCCAAGCCGGATGTGCGTCGATGTCAGTGGCGATGACGTTACGGTGAAGGCAACATCATCGACAATGACCACGCGCCCCGCTGTGCGCATTTCATTTGACACTGGTAGCACACAATTGTTAAGTCAATCGTTGTTGCATTAAACTCAAACACGACTTTTGCTGACAACCATCAACTACGGCGCTAGACTGCAGATATTCCGCGGTGTCGTGCAATTGTGATGGAAGACGCAAAACGCCGTCTTCTTGTCCACGTTTTCGAGTTATCATTATGTCGGTACTGGAAGAACCACGTAAACGAAGCAACTGAAGCTTCTCGCTTTGCTTACCCCTTTTTTTCTTTTGCTTACAGCGCATTCCTGGCCATGATCTTCTTTATGGTTGCCTTGGGCACTGGATTAGACATTTACTCTGAAACTAAAGCACGCAAGTATCACAAAAGTAAGTAGCACATGTGAACGCATGCATTTGTTTTTATGTAAACCATTTATTCGTAAACGAGAATATGTTATCTTTTCTACTACTACTACTACTACTACTACTACTACTACTACTAATAATAATAATATTAATAATAATAATAATATTAATATTAATAATATCTGGGTAATTTATTATTGATTGATTTACAAGAAAATGTTGTGGGAGACTAGGGGAAAAAACTGATACGATCAGCTTGTGGGTGTCCTGGCCACCCTACATGTGTTACAGCATAAAAAGTGGTAACGAACACAAAAAACAGAAAAATGACATGCACAAATTATATATATATATATATATATATATATATATATATATATATATAAATAAATATATATATATATATACATATATATATATATATATATATATATATATATATATATATATATTTATATATATATATATATATATATATATATATATATATATATGAATATTCCTCATGCAAATATGTAACGTGCTTCAATATACATAATAAAAAATGAATTATTTTTCTTGAAAAACAGCGAAAAACGAAAAAGATAAGGACGTGCCAAAACCGCGATATTGCTGATTAGAGACGCCCAAGTGCAGGGCTACGACAATTTCTGCCATCTAGAGCTCTTGAACGTGCGCCTAAATCTAAGATCACGGGCCTCTAGCATTTTCACCTTAATCGAAAACGCAGGCGCCGCAGCCGGGATTTATTTCAGTGATCTTCGGGTTAGCAGTAGAGTGTCATAACCACAAGACCACCATGACGTGTCTGATCTTTTTCTAAGAACGTTGCTTTACGTGGTAGTGGGTTTTATCTCACCTTACTCTTATCGATAATTGACGCATCCTCACAGCGGGAATCATTGTATAAAGAATCATTGTGTAAATAAATTTTAAAAAACGAGAATATTGTATATACAACATTTTTGCAGGAGTATTTGACCTAAATGACTTTTCAACGTCCCTTTAAACTGCAGAGAATATCATGTAAGCCTGCATTCATTCCGGCCTAGTGTAATTGATGCATTAGCCTTGGTGCAGTTCCTGCAGTTTCACCCCGGCGCGGTGGTGAAGCTGTTACGGCACTTGGCTGCTAACCCGATGGTCGTGAGATCGAATCCTGGATGCAGCGGCCGCAATTTCAATAGAGGTGAAAATTTTTGAGACCCGTGTACTTAAATTTAGGTTCACAGGTGACCGCGAAGAATCACAGGTGGCCGTAATTTTCGGAGTCTTTCACTACAGCGCCTCTCACAATGATATCGTGGTTGTGGAACGTTAAACTACGAAAATTATTATTACTCTACTTTATTTTCCAGCTAAATTTTATTGTTCGAAATAATGTTCGTCACGATGGATGCGCGCTCGTTAGGCGTGCTCGACAATTGTGCATACAAGCCAGCACTCAAACAAGGATGAACGAGAAGGTTACACTAGAGTCACACAATACAGTTCACGTGCCGAAGCAGAATCGCTAATCATGCGAGTTGGTGGATGTTCACAGAGAGTTCACATACGCGTACTTTATGCCCGCTTCTTTTTCTTCCTTTCAAGAGCAACGTTTAGGTTTTTTGACTACAACGCTAAACATATATTGTGCGTGCAGCTCTTTAAGGGACTCGACTGTCGTATTCTGTCATCTTAGGTGTTCTTAGTCGCTCTGAGTAACGCAGGCAAAACTTATATGACATTGCCAGCTGTAGCACATTGAGCGCACGCCCCCGCCAAAAAAAATCAACTTTCTCTTGTTTTTAGAGCGCCTTGACGATGATGTTAGGAGCGCACATGACAGCTAAGACTTGAGAAACACGGCAACAGGAACAACTTATAAATATTGAAAGAGGAAACAAGCAAGCAACAGGGGGAAAGAGAGAACAAGCGAAAAAATGCAAGCAAAAATATAACTGAAAAGTTATAAGGGGAAAAGACACAAAAAATGAACAAGGTTGAAGAAGAGTAGGAAAAAAAACGAGAAAGAAAGCATGCTACCAAGATGCACACTTTCATCAAGCTCGCGACCACCAGGGCAAAATCTTCTTCATTTTACTTTTTTTAAATATAGTTATTGCATAAATTCAATGCCGGGAACACGAATAACACAGCAAACACTGAAGAAACTAAGGACATGAGGTATTTGTGGGACTAGCGCACAAAGCGTCTTTTTTTAACAAACCAAAACAAGAAAACTTCTGCCAACAACAACTTTTGAAATATTGTGTCTCACATCAAGAGCCTCAGAATCTTTGGAACCGATGAGATATTGCCCTATCGCATTGGAGATTGTTGTTCTAAGCGGACTTGTTGGCATTCTTAACTCTGTGAATGATACATTTTGTAGGCAGGTGCTTCGTAAGATGCAAGAATTGGTAACAACGAAGAAAAACGATCATTTCTAGAGTACTATGCTAGTTTTGCAATGTGTCTCATTTACCAGAAGAGTAGTGTGACTATGTTTCCTCTTTTTTTATTTTGAAAAGTCTGCCCTTCAGCATAATAATATTGATTCAAAAGTACGCATGGAAATTTGCTTTGTGTATAACATGAAATAATGAGCGCAGATAGCGTCTACAAATCCAGAGGTCAAAGTTACTTGGTGAGTCAGCACTGAGGGTTGTTGCACGGATCTGACGATAATAGCTTAATTGTACATCCGTGCAGGTACACATGAGGTATGTGTCAGTCACATTGTTGCTTAATCGTCGCAAAATGGGCACAATTTATGATGCGGTCTCGTCTAAAATAAAAAGCTCACTTATTCAAGCATATTTGAATATTCCTTCGTGGCCAGGTGTCGTGTGTAGATCTGTATCTGTGGCTCTGCGCCAATGATGTCAGTTTCTGAATATATAGGCGCTGCTTAGCCTCCTAGACAGGCGCCGCTCTACCCTATAGCTATTAGAATCCAGATAAAAAAGGTGCACAGAATTTTCCTAATACCACGGAGTTATTGTAACATAATTGCTCTGAACGAAAAAGTTGCTGCAGCCTCAGAGAGGCTGCATCAACTACAGATGCATCAAACCAGCCACGAAGCAGCAAATAGTCGGAGTAGCCTAGTGATTTTCATTTATAGAATCACCAGATATGATAAAAAGAAACCGAGATAGACGCTGTCTTATTTTGAACGACAGGCAACTAAGCTCAAGCAGCCTTGCGCGTAAACGGTCCTACAGAAATTTCTTCGAATGCAAATGCAATTGGGCTGGCTAAATGGGCTTCTGGGTCATGGTGGTTATGTCTACAGTACATGTTAATGCAGATACGAGGAACAATACGTACGATCTGGTATATCTACTATATTGCATGCTTGTACAGTTGACATTATTTCAAATATTTAGTAGGATATTGCTAACTGGGGTTTTTCCCGTCATTTGCTTTGGGGGATTCACTTCACAACTATACCCACGAGTAGCCTTTTGTTTGCACCTCTCATTCTATAGGCACACGTCGCTTACGCCAAAATTCCCTCGCGACTGCAGAGTATCCTAAATATTGCCACTAGCACTATTACCGCGTTAGCTACTTTGCAAGTTACGCCCACCAAGATAAGCCATTGACGCATATTGAGCCTCATTTCCAAGCAACCCTACAGATTGATTGATATGTGGGGTTTAACGTCCCAAAACCACTATATGATTATGAGAGACGCCGTAGTGGAGGGCTCCGGAAATTTAGACCACTTGGGGTTCTTTAAACCCTACAGCGTAAAGTGCGCTCGAGTTGACCCCTGCTGCCAAGTTTCAGTCGCAATATATCGTCGTGTGCGTGCCACTTGGCCCGTATTCCTCAGCGGTTAACCATAGATTGTTATGGATGCTTTTGCGACAGATGCCCTGGTTCGGGTCGCACTTTGCTTCTCTCTGCTAAGCAACACGCGCTCCATGCTGAACATCAACAGGAATAGGAACTCGGACGCCTACAGATTCCAGTTCCTGCACGGACTCCGCTTCTTCAGCATTGTATGGATCGTCATTGGACACTGCTACGGAACGCCATCGGATGTCTGGTGTGAGTACAAACAAAGTATGCATGCTTATGAAAAAGGTGCACACATTTTACGGTGTTACTGCGAAAAGACCCAGTAAAAAATGAAAGCTGTTATCAAGAACAAAACAGCCAATTCTGCAGCTGTCATGCTGTCTGTGCACGCAGGAACACATTCAATGATTACTGGATATAACGTGTGCTCAGCGCAGCGTAAATTTGATATTTGACGTGCTATTACAAAAGGTAGGTGAGTCGCAGGCCTGTACACACACACACACACACACACACACACACACACACACACACACACACACATATATATATATATATATATATATATATATATATATGGGAAAGAAGTGTATACCTAAGGGCTCGTTTTTCCGTGTTTTTAACACAATAATAATGAGATATAACAGACAGTAATGCCAAGGAATGTACAGGGGAAGTTATTAACATTAAACGAGGGTCTCGTACTGGCAGACTTGGTGTGTTTAGGTTGTATAAGAGGGACAATTAATCAGCTGCCCGCTCGTAATAAGTTCACGTGCTACGTGACGCCAAACATGCGCATAAGAGTGTTTTCACACTCGTTGTTTGGCTTATAGATGGCGCTGACTGTCGCTCCTACTTCTAAATTCACAGATAAACCCAAAAAAGTGGATGGAGGGAGTGCCGCTGTAATAGCTCAGTGGTTAGAGCATCGAACGCGTAATTCGAAGGTCGTAGGTTCGATTCCTGCTTACAGTTGGTAATTTTTTCATCCACTTTTCTTTCTTCTTATTTACATTCCATTAATGTTAATAACTTCCCCTGTACATTCCTTGGCATTACTGTCTGTTATATCTCATATATATATATATATATATATATATATTATATATATATATGTGTGTGTGTGTGTGTGTGTGTGTGTGTGTGGTGTGTGTGTGTGTTAAGCAAAAGAGAAGAGTTCAAAGAGTCCGGTACGTATAAGAAAAAAAATCGGGTACAGGGATGAGAAAGCAATACTTTTATGCCTAACGTTCAAGCTATACAACAACCCACTATCCACTCACTACTTTACGCCATACATAAATTATGAATGGCGCACCTCTGCCTTGTTGCCATCTCTTAAATCCTTCTTTTTTCACAGACTGATTGCTTCGATGTGCGTGCTGTGCATATGTTTTGTTTATTGTTTAGTCGTCATTTCACTCCATTGTAAGGAAAAATAGATGCGGTGGTGACATTTACGCAACAAAGATTTTCACTTCTTAAAACTTCAATACAGGCTCAAGTATATAGCTGATGTTATCCTATATGTACATGTTTCCTCTGCGCCCTTGTGAGAGGCAATACGTGGAGGAAATGTTTCAGCGAAAATTAGGCTAGGGTCTACTATACATGGCTATTTTTCTCCCTTTATATGAAATACCGGCAGTAAAATGAAAACAAAAAGGGTGAAGTAACCTATCATGGGTCTCAAAGCACAGGTTGCCAAATGACCTTGAGTTTTCGCCTCCTATATTTCTCAAGCAAGGAGAAATCAGCATACCTGTCCCAGTAGAAATGTGCTTATTAAATATTCTACGTTTATCTGGCAAATTATCTCTCGATGTGGCTTCAAGATAAAAGTGGCATCGTTGAAATGATTCGATATTCTGTGGCGTAGAGGTATTTATCCCAATCCCCGTCATGCAGAAGCAAGCAAACAAACAGAGAAACAAACGTCACCCTCGCTTACGATCAAGAAAGATTGGAAGCCATACAGACAAACTTCAATTAGAGCTCACAATGAGGAACAAATAGTACTTTTCTTGGCATCATCGTTGATGTCGTCATAGAAGTGGCTAAGAATAAAATATGCATTACGCAATTCAGAATGGCCGTTGGTTCAATTATAGCATGCGCTCGCGCGCTTCGTCACTTTTGGTAAAATGAGATAAAAATAAAGGCACGACTCAGACGTGTTTGGCGAAATGCCAAGCTTGTTCTTTGAGTTGTGTAATCTTGTGGGGAAAATGGAAGCACACGCGCACTAGTGGCGCCAAAGCAAGTCATTTCAATTCTACAGTCGTCAGCGGCTAAAAACACTCGAAACGGCAGAGGCTGCGATGCGAGTGACATTCGAATTTTTCAATATCACACCTATGTGAACTAAGAATTTTAGGTTGTATGATTCATACGTGGGGTTAAACGTTCAAAAACCACCATGTCATTATGAGAGACGCCGCAGTGAATGACTCTAAAAATTTAAACCTTATAGGGTTCTTTAACGTATACACAAATGGGTACACATATTAAGACACAGTTGAAGCTCCACACCGCAAAATTACAAAAAATACCCATAAAAGAGCCCTTAATTAAGTCACAAAAAATACAGTCACAAAAGAAACTTCTACGGAGGCCTTATCTCGTGGAATCAAACCGACTATCAGCCTTCATACACGAAAGACCAACGTGTTAACGATGAAGGCACTAAGGATATTTTTATTCCTGGGCTTTTGGAAAAAAATTGGGTACAGTGTGAATGACACATACATATTCCAAAGAAACATACGCCGAAGCCCTGTCTACGCTTTGTGTTTAAAAATGCTTCAGAAAAGCTAATTGGATAGTGTTAGCCCTTCCAATAGTTCACCGTGCGCTTTGAACAAATGCCATGTGTAGCGCCAATTGAAACACGAACAGCACCAATGGAAACCCGAACAGCAGCATGTATTTGTAGTGCTTGTCGTGTTGTCGCCATGGACATGTGCGCGCATCCAGTTCGACAGCATTGCACATATACGCGCCATCTCATGCCGATAACTGAATGGCGTGCACTGTAATCTTGCTAAGAAGGCGATGTACCACATCGCCTTCTCAGTCTACTCCGCAGTCAATATCTTGTTTATTTCGTTCAATGCAAGGGAAACGTGTGCTCGTCAAAGTGAGCCGTGGGCCGCTTTATTTCAGGGAGTGGTTGCTATGCGACGACACATCTAGGGTAAGGCTGGTATGGCTGCATGCGTCACACATGTGTACGAGCGCTTTGCCATGAAGATGCGATAGACGTGTCTCCCTTTCCAACATCATACGTCGGTCGGATTTGTTCTTTCGTGCTCCTTCTTTGTGACTCCAAGCAAGACCACCGCCACCTCACAGCGCTCTTAAAGTCAGCGTATGCAGCAGCATCGCAGTGACGTTTCCCCATCGGTTGCTCATATATCACCACGAACTGCAACATGCTATCTCAAAACACTGTACATTTAGAGATCCAGAGTGATTGCCAACATTGTGGACATAAGGAATGCAAGACTCCACCCCACAGATCTGTATACACAACTGAACAAAAAGTACTTTATATCATTTCCGTTGCGACGCACCACAGTAAAGAACATCTCCCCCATGGCCGCAAATCACACACCAAGCGTAGGCAATGGGCTAGAGCAGGGCTATAAGAGAAGTTAGTGAACGGCTGGAACGGGAGCATTACGCTGGCTTTGAAAAAAAAATCGAGAAGGCACTAGTAAAATGAGCCTGCAAATTAATACGCCGTACGTCAAGTCATACAGTGCATGAAAAGCAATGTCAGCATGTCACTCAGTGGTCTTCCTCTATCCAAACATGGATAAAGGGAGGTATAAAAAATTTAGGTTTCTGAGTCACGTGTTCTCGGCAGCATCTCACACAGAAAGTGTGACACGGCAGTGATAAAAACATTTCACCTATAGTCTTTGATTTACTGCAGAATAAGCAGTTCATTGACCTTGGTACCTAGACACCTTTGCCTTATAAAGTTGTTTTTAGAGTGAGAGCATCATTGCATTCTTAAGAAGAGAAAGCTTTATTTGATAGTACGATCGACATCTTTACAGCGCTTTAGGACATCACTTTCAGCCCCTTGCCTCCACGCAAAGTGACATAGATCGGTTGTGCAGTGACATCATAAGTGATTTCGCCAACATAGCTGAATGACATGAAATATTTTCTCTGAAAGACGAGAGCACTTGCCTAATAACCGAACGTCATGCCATTTTTGTGCTTTTGAACAGTGGGAGAACCAGTGTATATGGTATCATCGAGTGTATGTTTTTTTATTCGTCCAGTACAGTCAATGTAGGTACAATATATGAATACATTATAGTGGGAAACACTATTCCACACCAACTGAAGTCACAGCTCCGATGGCTTCTATTTTCACTGTATAGTCGACGAGCTTTGAAAGGTGCAGTTTGGTCACATTATCGTGTCATTTAGTTGCCTTTGGAGTGGTCTTTCAATGTGCAGCAGCACTGTTTGCTTACTGCCTGCTAATTCACTTGCAAAAGCGATAAGTACCAATACTGCAGCTTCAAGCATCAAATCATTGCTGTGGTGTGTCCAGGTGTATATTTCATAAATATAGCAACAGTAAATCAACGCGAGCACACCAGCGTGATACGCAACCTAGTCGCTCGTACTGATAGCTACATCTTGCATTCGTAATGCTGAGGCCATTCAAATTTTCCGGCTATCACAAATACACCCGAGCTTAACCATAACTCTTGGACACTAAGTAAAGTCAATCCGCAGCAGGATGTGCCGTATTACAAGCGATACCGAAAGATTGCCGCCACCGACTAACAATCATGTGGCTTTCGCGGCAGACGGTTGCGAACCAGTTTGCTGGCATTTGTTCCGACAACTTATTTCTGCTTCTCTTGTGTCTCTTGTGTCGTATTTCTGCTTCTCTTGTGCACGGGCCTACACCATTTCCGGGTTGCTGATCTTTGTCACCATAATTTATCAGGATGGAGGTCTATAGGCGCCAACACAGGTGCATTAGCATCAAAGACTGCTTGCCACCCCAATCGCAGTACACTATTCGCTAATTTCATTTTTATCTTATATAAAAACTTCAACTACTTGTATGACTTCACTTTTTTCGTAATGAACAGTATCTATGAAAAAGTAATGAACTGTCATCGTTTTTTCTTATAAATCGCTTGTAATATTATGCTATCTGTAAGTGTGTAATATATTACCAAATATCATGCCCTCATAATCCGCGTTTCATTTCAGCTCGCCTGGTAAACAACATATCCCTCACTGACCGGTGGGACATCACAATTATATCGGCCGGATTCATCAGTGTCGACACATTCTTCTTCCTCAGGTGCGCATCATCAAAACCGCCATATTTGCACCCGAATGTGCAAGATTTATAATTTTCGGCCAGCAACTCAGGGCTTCGTCAAGCGGTGATAATGCGCGATTTTTTTATGCAGTAAAAGCATGACGCCGTCAATACTGCAGTAAAGAGCAGCTGCAAAAGGGAGGGAAGTAACTTATCCTTGTTGTTTATGCTGTTTTTCAGTGCTTTTCTGCTTACGTGCGTCGTTTCTAAGCATGAACATGTCGGCGTTGTCCTCTTCATCGTGGCTGTGTTCAGGAGACTTGTCAGGTGAGCTTCGATAACAAAACGCTACTGAGTTTCACTACACGCCAGCATGCATCAAAGTCCACACCATCACCCTCCTTGCCCTCTGACAATGGTTGGTACGGAGCAGAAAAATAGGTACGGAAATGATAGCGCACGAGCCTGTGATGCTGTCTGAGCGAATGAACAGAGGGCGAACAGTGGGTTTGCTAACAGAATGAATAGAGATGAAAAACGTGGAAACTCGCATAAATGAGTCGGCGAAAGCGGTATACACTTGTAACCAGCAACTTGTAAAACTTCAGAGTATGCTACTTGCAATGAAGGCTGATCTAGAGAAGTCGCTAGTTGACTAGGAATATTTATTTTAGTTCGTTTATTTCGCTGAAAGTCCCAGTATTTTGACAATTTTATTGTATTGGTACAGCTTGTAAGCTTCACTTGGAAATCTCTAGAGCGTGGTTACGAACAACCATGCTGAAGTCCCATCAAGTTTATACAAACAACTGCATATATGATTCCACAAAATCATTTTTGTTTTCATTTCCTATTTAACTGCTAACCAAAAGTTGTAAGGTCCTAATAGCTTAGAAAACTATTAAAACATTTAAAAGGTTGCAACCAACTACCTGCTGTTCACCACATTTGCATCTGACGTACGCCTCTACGTAAAACAAATAAAAAGAACACGTGAAACATCACACTATCCCGTAATAGAAGATATGTTCACCTCTATCGGTGGTATACCACGGAGGTGACACCGTAATCATTTTATACAAAGGTTACGGTGTTAGGCTACTGACCCGAAAGGTGGCGAAATGTTATACGGGCCCATGTACAGTAGCCTTTCAGTGCACGCGAAAAAAAGCCAAATGCGATAATTATGAAAACACCGCATATTAAGAACAAAATAAGCGTTAACTAACGGACAAACCCACTTTTCAGAGCGTGCGTAATGTCTTCATGAATACACTAAGCACGTATCCTATGCTACTGCTTGAAGCTGGACTATGCGCATATTATGAAGCACTGTTAAAATAAATGAAGCAACATAAAGTGTCCAAAGGCACGAATACATTTCGTTTTACTACTTGGCGATGCGTCCATGTCAGTGTAACTAAGAAAGTTTTGTTGTTTTTCTTTATTGGTTTGCAGGACACTAGTGCCACTCTTCTTCATGATAATGTGTATGTATCTGCTGCCACTCATGGTGTCCGGGCCTGAGGCACCGGAGTTCTTCGAGAAGCTGAATAAAGAAGTTTACGAGAACTGGTGGACGCTGTTGGCACAGGTCCGAAACTACTTCTACAGGGATGACGATGTGGTAGGAATTATTTTTGCATACTGTCACGATGTTACATTACTTTAGACTACAGGACACCCACACCGTGGTCTAGTGGTTATGGTGCTCAAATGCTAACCTTCAACTTGCGGGATCGAATCCCCGCTATGGGGGCCTCATTTTTTGACGAAGAAGGAAATGCTCGAGACCCGTGCAGTAAGATTTAGGTGAGGGTAAAGAACCCTATATATATATATATATATATATATATATATATATATATATATATATATATATATATATATATTGTTAATTTCTGGAGACGAACCACTACGTCGTCTGTCAAAGTCATATCGTGGTTTCGCACGTCACAGTCCCCAAAGTTATGATCATCGGCGAAATAGGACGTCAGTAAAGAATAAACAAATAAAGTTAGAGTCGGGAATAAGGTATTACGTCTAAACATGGCACAGCGTTATTTTTTAATAAGGCCGATTAAAGCACTATCATTAAGATTCAATTTTATGGTTTGCACTGTATTCCATTTAAATGGAAAATTCTCCCCCTTATCGCTCTCTTCCCCCCAAAAAAGTCAGCGCGGAAGCGTAGGCGGCATGTTACTTTGACTATTTCAAATTTTTTGTCAATTGCGGTATATGTATTTTTAACATTATGTTCACATGAGATTCGTGTGCTTCTGTGCTTCCTGCACTGTTCTACTCAAGTTAATTTTTCTACGTTCCCTCTGGGATTCAAGTATATATGATTCGTTCGTTTTCGTCAATTTAATAAATACATCTCTCGCTGTGTCGTAATTTCAGTAGCACTAATTATTATCTCCTGACCAATTTATTGGACCCAAATGCATGAAAAATGACAGCATTTTCTTCGAAATTGTATCAGTGCTTTTGGCCAAGATGCGTGATGTGACTGTCGTAGGCGCGCTTGACTTCTATTGTCAATTATGAAGTGGCACAGCTTGTAGTTTCCTAGGTAAAATGTAGGACATACACCTTATGCGGAAATGCCTTTCAGCCACTGCTTCCTCACCTGTGGTACTTGTCACTGGATTTCCAGTTCTTCCTGGTTGCTCTACCCATCCTCGTAATCTGCAAAAAGTAAGTTGTTTATTGTCGCCGCATTTGCTTTACTATTTCAAGAGAAAATTTAGAGCATGTTAATCCTTCATATCTGCCCGAAAGCTTTAGTTTTTTTCCTCATAAGTTACGTGGGGCCTCAGGAAGTGTTGGTCTAAGAATCAGTAGAGGAGGGGGGTGGGCGGAGCAAGTTTATACAGTGGCATGCATGCCCACAATAGGCACTGCGCCGTGCTCCCGACCAGGTTGCAGAAATTAGGTGCCTCTCCTCATCTTCTAACCACTACCACCATACCCACAGAAGAACGAGGCCGTGTTACCTAATAGTGAGTGTAAACATGTGCGCCAGGTACAACCCTTTACGTCAGGAGCCACGAACATGTGACCCGCCAGCCGCATGTGGCCCGCCGGCCTCTTGCGCCCTGCCCGCGTCCCGCGCATCATTCCTCCCCCAGTACTTATGACTTAATGGCTATTTGCGACATTTATAATTGTTGCTGTCACTATTTTTTGCATATCGTGATTCGTAACGCGTTCTGCGGGTAAGCTGCACATATGCGACTGATATTAAGCTTTTGTTTAGTGAGGCACTCATTCGGCAACCTTTTGTTGAGCATCAGCCGTGGAACAAAAACATTATACCGTAGGATTGTTGTCCAAAATATAGTGAAGATGTAGGTCGGAATCGATACGTTTCTCGAAACCTGACGCCCAATGCCCTGTTGGAATAGACCATACAGTGGATGTCAGAAAGGCGTTCTTTTGAATAACAACTTCAGCTCACATTTTGTTAAGTAAGCTCCCACCCACCACACCAATTTATACTTATTCACTGCACTGGCCCATTGCGGGATACGTTAAATGGCTCTGGTCGGCAGGTGATGCGAGTTGGAGAGCCCTGCTTTACCGATCACGAGTGAAGCACAGAGCTAAAAATAGGCGATATACAAGGGCCCGAGACCACGGCGCTGTCTCTGAGCAGGCTGTCTTTAATGTTCTGTTGTTGATAGTGGAGAAGTATATATGTATATATTGTAGTGATGGCCCCACGGCGGTGGTCTAGTGGCTAAAGTACTTGGCTGCTGACCCGCAGGTCGCGGGATCGAATCCCGGTGGCAGCGGCGGCTGCATTTCCGATGGAGGCGCAAATGTTGTAGGCCCGTGTGCTCAGATTTGGGTGCATGTTAAAGAACCCCAGGTGGTGCAAATCTCCGGAGCCCTCCACTACGGTGTCTCTTATAATCATATGGTGGTTTTGGGGCGTCAAACCCCACATATCAAATCAATTGTAATGATGAAAATTGGCAACGGAGCTTTGGCTCTCGCGCTCGGCCAGCGCGAAGCAGAGGAAGACGAGGTCAGATAAGAAAAAGTCAGCCTGCATCAAAGGCGTTGTCGCTTCATCTCAATCCTTTCTTATATATATATATATATATATATATATATATATATATATATATATATATATATATATATATATATATATATATATATATGTGTGTGTGTGTGTGTGTGTGTGTGTGTGTGTGCAACCTCACCAGCCCTCGAGAATGGACAACATGGATAACGAGGTATGAAGATTACGCCTTAATTCGCGGCCGGAATTGACACAGCCAAGGACGAGGTCAAAGTGCGAACTCTTTTATATTGCATAAGTTCTTAAAGCACCTAGCGTCTTGTCACTGCTGAGACTGCTTTGCTCCGGAAAACCGCCCGTTTGCGGAAGTCAAGGCTAAGCTAACTTCGTATTTTGTCCACGCTATCAATCAGATTTACGAGAGCCGCCGATTTCACCACCGTGTGCAACAACTTAGGGAGCCGGTGGATAAATTTTTTACCGCGCTTAAGAATCTTGTGAAGCGTTGTGGGTACAACAACGCCGAGATGGAAGACCGCCTTGTGCGAGACAAGTTGTCGCTAGATTGCGGAATGAGAAGCTATCGCATCAATTGTGCCGATGTACGAAACCTACAACCGGGGAAGCGTTGTGCCAAGTGCGTGTTAACGAAGAAGCTGAAAAAGAGCGTCTATCCCGCGAAATTTCCAGCGACAGCGGGGCCTTCGACAGCTTAAACCTGGACGCGTTGCTACGCGCGAAGAACGCATCGTCGTGTCACAGCAAGTCGGTGCAGCCAACTCAGTCCACTTGCGATTACTGTGGCTGTCATCACCACTCTCGAAAAGAATGCCCAGCTTGCAAGGCCACATGCAATTTGTGCAGCAAGGTCATTTTATTGCTGCTTGTCGGTCTAAGCGCCAGAATGCGCTGGTAGGCTCAGTTGAACTTCACGCGCTCAGTACGCGTCGGGAACGATATGCCAACATTCACGCGAATGGTCACCTAGCACACTTCAAAATAGACCCAGGAGCCGAAGTAACGGTGGTTTCACCTCCCTTTCTGGCATTACCTACTGTTTTGGATTAAGTGGACGCCGAGGTATCTGTTCCTGGGAAGCAAAGGTTGCACGTTCTGCGATCTTTCACTGCCACCTTGCAGTGGCGTTACAAAGTGTCTGTGTAAAGACTGTATGTTATCAAGGAACAAACGACACACCTCCTGGTATTACCAGCAACAGAAGACTTGGGGACTGTTCAGTTTTTGGACTCTGTGGATAGTATTCCGTCCCCCCTAGCAAAAATTGTTCTTGGACTCGGGGGAGTGCAAGAAGAATACCACATCCGCGTCGCTCAAGATGCTCGTCCCTTTTCATTAGGTGTTCCTCGACGAATACCTCTGCCTCCGTTCTAGCAGGTGAAGAATGAATTGGATGAAATGGAAACCCAAAGAGCCATTCGCAAGGTTGGCGTGCCTACCGCATGGTGTTCAGGCCTCGTCGTCGTGCCGAAGCCGTCGGGCGGATACAAGCTCTGTGTCGACTTAACGAAGCTTAACAACGTAATTGTGCGGAAACGCTACATTCTGCCAACAGTTGAAGACATCTTAGGCCAGCTTTGTGGGGTAGACGTTTTTTCCAAGCTTTATGCAAGATCCAGCTTCCACCAAATCAAACTAACTCGTGAGAGCGAAGAACTGACTACATTCATAACACATTTTGGCCGCTATCGCTACAAGTGTCTTTTCTTCGGAATTGCGACAACACCCAAGTATTTTCTACGCTTTATGTCGAGACTGCTCGAAGGCATGACTGGAGTCGTCAACATGTTAGACAACATACTCGTCTTTGGTCGGAACCGTCAAGAGCACGACCAGCGTCTAGCTGACGTCTTGGCACGTTTAACTCAATTGGGCGTAATTCTTAAAGAAAAGAAGTGTCAGTTGCGAGTTTCTTCTGGCAAGTTCCTGGAAGTTGTCATCAGTGAGTGAGGAATCAGTCCAAACCAGGACAAAGTCAGGGCTATCAGGGATCTCCCACCACCAATCGATGTTAGTGGTGTTCGCCGATTACTTGAGATGGTAAACCATATGGCTCGATTCATTGAAAACCTGTCTAAGATCTCCGCACCTATTCGAGCACTCTTCAAAAAGAACAACGCGTGTAGCTGGAGTTATAACGAACAGCAAGCGTTCAAGAAGATAAGGTTTTTCCTCAACTCCGACACATGTATGGCCATGTAGAATCCGCATTGCCCAACTACACTATCAGATGACGCAAGCTCTCACGCCCTTGGCACCGTCTTACTCCAAGATCAACTGTCAGTAATTCGACGGGCAGTTGCCTATGCTTCTAGATCTCTCACTACTACAGAAAGAAGCTACAGTCAAATGAAAAAGAAGTCTCTAGCTGTCACGTGAGCTCTCACCAGTTTCGACCAATAGCTGCGTGGACTCAGCTTTGAGGCCGTATCCGATCACCTTCTGCTTGTAGCTCTCCTGTCAAGCAACGATCTAGACGTCTTGCCACCTCGAATTCAACGTATGAGGATCAAACTGATGCGCTATCAGTTCTCCGTCAAGTATGTTCCTGGACAACTACTAGCCATAGCCGAAAAATTATCAAGAGCACCCTGCGATTTGCCAACTTCCAAAGCAGTCGGCAGCTTGGAAGTCTATACAGAAGAAATTCTCAAGGATCTACCTCCACAACTGGCGAATCAGCTGGACAAGATCCATCGCCTTGAAGCTCAAGATAGCGAGTGTTCTTTTACTATGGCTTATAGTGAAAAAAGCTGGCCGTCCAAGAAGAGAGTTCTGATCCATTTTGCACCATACTGGAAGGAGCGGGAAAGACTGAGTGAGTACGTTGGGTTGTTCTTACTGGATCGCCGCATTGTCATTCCGTCAGCTTAACGCAAGGAAATTCTTGCACTGCTGCATAAAGGACATCAAGGTGTCCACCGCTGTCAAGAGGGCGCCCGCGAGTGCGTTTGGTGGCCTCATTGCCACCAGAATATTGAGGACCTTGTGGCTCAATGTGCTAAGGGTGCTGAGACCCGAGTTTTGAGTTCTGAGCTACTGACACCAACGACGCCAACACCGGAACGACCATGGCAACGCCTCGTAATGAACTTGTTTCAGTTGGAAGGACGCGACTACGTTCTCACCGTGGACTACTACTCCAGATTTCCAGAAGTAGTCACACTCGGAATTTCGTAAGAAAAAGTGGTGGTTTCTGCGGTCAAGAGTTGTTTTGCTCGTTTAGAATACCAGACGTTGTGCAGACGGACAATGGACCTCAATTTCCGTGTAAGAAGTTCGCCGACTTTGCAACAGCGTATCAATTCTGCCACGAGACTAACAGTGCTCGATACCCTCAGAGTAATGGAGAGATAGAGCGCATGGTGCGTACCGTGAAAGATTTGCTGAAGAAAAGCCTGGATCCGTACCTCGCTCTACTCGCATACCGAGACACACCTGGAACTTCAGGCGTCATTCCAGCTCAGTTACTCATGGGAAGGAGACTACATACTTGTCGTCCGGTTCTGCCTGAACGACTTCTTCCAGCCTTACAAAATCACGAGGAATTGCAAGCACAAGATACTGCAGCGAAGTTGCAACAGGCGAAGGACTACAATCGCCATCTCAGTGCTACTCTTATTCCTTTCAATGTGGGGGAGGACGTGTGGATAAAGGATTAAGGTTGCAGCGGCCGTGTTCTCAGCCCCGATCAGCGACCGAGGTCGTACGTGGTCGAGACTCCAAATGATCTTGTCCAGAGGAGCCGTTGCCATCCGGTGCCGTTTGTAGGTGACAAAAATGTCCAAGGACAAGCAGCGACAGCTTCATCACCGACGAATGAAACTGTCATCAAATACGTCAAGACCATCAGCCTCTACCTCAGCGCCGGAAGCATCATCTCCCAGTACTTCGTGCACATCACCTGTGCCGCCTGTGAGGATGCTTTCCTCGCCTGAAGTGCAGACTCTACCTGTGCAAGCAAGTGCGTCTCAGTGTAGTGAACCTAAGCGTACGCGTAGTGGCCGCGCTGTGAAACCACCGCGCACGTTGAATATGTAACTATCCCGGGAGGGAAGGTGTAGTGCGCACGCCACCTCATATGGAGTATATAGCAGGGGGGGGGGGCAGTTCGGAATAAAGGGGACTTCTTGTTGTTGCTATGAGCTGTGCTCGTGTCTTACTCGGCGTCTCTGAACATGTGTGTGTGTGTGTGTGTGTGTGTGTGTGTGTGTGTGTGTGTGTGTGTGTGTGTGTGTGTGTGTTCTTAAAAATCAACAAATTTGGTTGCTAGCGCCATGGTCTCGGGTCCTTCCTTATCCAGTCTTTCAACTGTTTTTGAGTCGTAATCACAAAGCAATTGGCCCGAATGCGTACCCTATTGTTTTGCGGAATGCCGGCACAGAAATTCTAATTCGAATCATGTAGAGTAGCCGTTATTGCTATTAGACAGCAACCTGGATAAGTGTGAAGGGCAACAGGTATAATCATATCACTGCTTTATGCCATCATGGTTCTCGCTCACCTATACGACCATTTTCTATTACAGGAGGCCACAACTTGCCATCACGTTGTTTGCGCTGCTGTCGCTGGTGGGCTGTTTGATTGCCACGTGGCAAGCAGCCAGCAGCAATAGGACACCTTTCATGGTGGTGATTGTCGAGTCCATTCAGTAAGTATGCAAAACCACAATTGACTAACGAAAAAAAGGTCCTGAGAAATGGGACAGCAGTTTCATTTGAAGACCCAAAGAAGTGCCGTTTTTCAAAGGGCCACTAAGCCAACATCATGTTGCGCAGTCGTGGACACAGAAAACTAAGTGAAAGTGTATCGCTCGTGATACTCATGCGAAACAAAGCGACACAGGCGTGCGTACGAACGAATGGCGAAGTAACTCAAGTCACGATTCACAACCGATATTTATCGCATATTGACCAATAGAGAGATTATTACATCCTAACGTCACGTGAAAAAACAGCTCACATCACGAATTGTGCTGCAAACACAGAGACTCCAGGAGAGAATAACGTGCTCGTTCTGTACATTTTCTGAGCTTGTGTAGAGAAAATTTAAGACGGATTCAGCCTTCAGAAGTGAAGGGCAAGGGATAACGTCAGAATGGGTGGGGAAACCGTATTTGAGGACGTCGAAAATGTTCGCATTTTTTCTGCCCCTCCTAGATATTGAGACATTTTATTTCACCTGCCTCCCAAAGTTTTAATTGCGTATTGACTTTAAGGTTTATATAAAAAACAAGGAACAGCAGAAGTTTTAGCTTTTTTTGAAGCCATTGGTTCAGCACGTAACCAGTAAGAAGTATATAAGTGGACACATATGCCAGAGCCGGAGGATTCGTCCAACTACGCAAAACCGAGATATTTTGGAGCAAGCCAACTCACTCCTGCTGAACCTTCTGGTAATTCTGGTCTGCTCAGCAATAATAATCCAAATAATTCTCTTAAGAACACGTACTTGTAGAAGCTTTGAGCTTTAATTGTCATGCAGCACGGGTATAATTTGCGGCTCAGTCGATCAGAATCACCGCAGGCATCTTGGCAGCCATTTTGAGTTTGTGATCAGATGTTCATATCACGTCGCTGTTTATGTGATAGTGCCGCTCAAGTACGGCTTCCCATGCAATGGAAACGTTTTCCACTATCGAGTGGCTGAAAGTATAAGTACGCCTCGGGTGAACGCGGCTCAGCGTGGCCGCGCTTCGCTGAGCACCGGCGCATCCGGCGTGACCACGCATCAAAGCGTATCGTCCAGCACCTACAGGGACCCTTGCTAGGTACTTCACGTTGCCTGCTACAGTGGTGGAGCCCACTGCCTTGTAGCAGCCACCACAGCCAAAGTGCCATCACTCTAAAAATTATGGAAGGTATCGTAAGAATAAAAAGGCCAAGTTACTCTTCAGAGCATTTTCTTCTGCTCTGAAAAATTGTGAGATAGAGTGAAATTAATTTTTACTTCGCATAAAAGAAGAGAGAGTGAAACGGCTTGCTGCTCTACTTCTCTGTGTGAAAGAGGAATTCCTATTTATTCTTTATGCACGAGAAAGTAAAACGTGGGTGTACTGCGGCTCTTCATTATATTTGGACGTGCTGGCACACCGCGAGTGATTAGCAGTACTTACTAACCACACATATGCGCAGTAAAACGTACTGAATTTGTTTATTCACACTTTAGAGACGATTAACAAAAATAACAGCGTTTCAAGCGCGTGCCAGTGAATTTCAGCACACTGTAAGACTCATAGAAATTTTAATATCTGCGTTTCCCGCTTTGGATTTGTGTAGGGAAATAAGTGAATACTACCTTATTAATAAGTCACCTTCAAACACAAATTCGAACAGATATTGCATTTTACTTATATTAATATTCATGTTTTTTTCTATGACTAGTGCACATGGGGGATGCTGTCGTAAGATTAACGTACGGTACGGCTACAGAGAAGTATTCTGAGCTTAGTCGTAGAATGTGAATAAGAATGACTGAAAATATGTACAAGGGCGTTAAAAATTGGCAGATCCCACGTACAGTGGGAATGATAGGCGAAGCACGAATGAGGAAGGTTGATATGTCGCTTTAAAATCAGCACAACGTTACGATGTGGACGTAAAATATGCCGTGCATGACTTCTATGTCATGATTATTATGTTTGAACGTGTGATTTACCTTCGTCGTCTACTCACGTCCCGTGATGCTAAATTTGGTATATGTTGAATTGGCGAAACAGCCGCGAGTGCGCTATGAGTGTAGTATGTAGTCATCTTTTACATGAAAAGCATGCCATGATTATTGTGTTTGCACTAGTCATTTACCTCCGTCGTTCATTCACGTCACGTAATACCAAATTTGATATATGCCCCGCTGTGGTGGTCTTGTTGTTAAAGTACTCGGCTGCTCACCCGCAGATCGCTTGATCGAATCCTGGCTGTGGCGGCTGCATTTTTGATGCAAGCCAAAATGCTGTATGTGTATTTGCTCGGATTTGGGTGTACGTTGAAAACCCCCAGGGGATCGAAATTTTCAGTGCCCTCCACTACAACTTCTTTCATATTATTAGGGTGATTTTGGGACGGTAAACCGCATATATTAATCAATTGAATTTGGTATATGTGAAGCTAGCAAAGCGGCTGTGAGCACACCATGAGCGCGGCTCCTAGTCATGTTATTACATGACACGCATCTAATTATTATCATGTTTTATGCTTACATACCTACGCCATTCATTCAAGTCCTGTAATTCCAAATTTGGTATATGTGAAGCTAGCGAAACGGCTGAGAGCGCATCATGAGCTTGGATAGTAGTCATGTTGTTACATGACACGCATCTAATTATTATCATGTTTGCACTAGCTTACATACCTACGACATTCATTCACGTCCTGTAATTCCAAATTTGGTATATGTGAAGCTTGCGAAACGGCCGAGAGCGCATCATGAGCTTGGATTGTAGTCATGTTGTTAAACGACAAGCATCTCATGGTTATCATGTTAGCCCTAGTCACATGCCCTCCTCATCCAGTCACGTCACTTAATACAAAACAAAGTATATGCGAAGCTAGCGAAACTGGTGCAAGTGCATTATTAATGTGGCATGTGGTCATGTTCTTAGTAGACACGCATCTCATGATTATCATGTTTGCACCAGTCATATACCTTCGTTATCCATTCACGTCCCGTAATACCAAATTTAGTGCATACGCAGCTAGTGACACAACTGCAAGGTGCACCATGAGCGTGGCGTTTATTCATGACTTAGATGACATGTATGTCATGATTTCCACGTTAGAGTCTGCCACTTGTGTTCGCCATGCAGTCATGCCATGCCATACCCGTTTTGCAACATGTCATGTGAATGAAACCACTGAAAAAGCAGCAGGGCCTTGAAATGTAATTCATGACATTCATGAAACATGTCATTGTTTTTGTGCTATGAGTAGTTTCTTATGCTCTTCCTGTAGTCATGCTATGTCATACAAACTTTGGCATCGATACCATCATTGAAACAGCCAGGAGAGCTAAAGGTCATGCCAGCTAGATAGATAGATAGATAGATAGATAGATAGATAGATAGATAGATAGATAGATAGATAGATAGATAGATAGATAGATAGATAGATAGATAGATAGATAGATAGATAGATAGATAGATAGATAGATAGATAGATAGATACGCTAAAGATCACCGCCGCTTGCTAAGAAATGCTTTGCATTTAAAAAAACTAAGTTGTGCAGCATACGCTTCAGAAGCGCGATGTTTCCTAACCAGAAATGACTAACCGCTTAGCGAGTCAGTGAAAATGCAGTCATTATGATCGGTTGCTCTGATATTCTTTTTTTTTTTGCTACTGTAAACGTGTCGAACGCACGTTCTGATCTCACGAATCACAAAACAGACACATTAAACGCGGGAGCTACAGTCCTGTTATTTTGAGATAGCACGGGCACACTTAAATCGGTGCTTCTGAACAAGAAAATTTAACATCATTTGCGACATGAACAATTATAAGTCAACTCAGCGTCTTCTAGTGTAGTGTAGTGGCTGGCGTGTCGGGCTCGCAATCCGCAGGGTGTTCTGTAGTGCGGGGAAAAGTTCGAGTCCCACTCGGCCGTCATTTCTTATTTCATATTTTTTTCTCTTTACTTTGTCATAGTGGCTCGTATTCCATCACCGTTACGATGCGCGCGCGACGAAATACGTCAAAAATAACCAAGGGGCCCTAAAGCTTCATTTTCGGGAGTTGAACGCTATAGCGAAATTCTGTTCCTTGCGCGCATACTTAGTGCATGAAACCTTTTCGAATTGGCTATGCTCCCTCTATACGAGTCAAGTGGTTAAGGTACTCGGCTGCTGACCCGCAGGTCGCGAGATCGAATCCTGGCTGCGACGGCTGCATTTCTGATGAAGGCGAAAATGATGAAGGCCCGTGTGCTCAGATTTGGGTGCACGCCAAAGAACCTGAGGTGATCCGAAATTTTTGTAGCCCTCCCCGTCGGCGTCTCTTCAAAATCATATGGAGGTTATGGGACGTTAAACCCCACATAGCAATCTATCAATCTTTGACCCACTCTAGAAGAATCACTGCACTCAGCCTCAACAAGAGGTGGTTTACTCGGAAAATGGAGCAAATTAAGCGTCTAAAAAGTACTCTCCCGAAGAAAGTGCTTAGCACTCTCTTAGTTTTTAGACTCTTGCTTGACAGTGGTACAGGAAAAGCGGCGCGCAATGCGCTTGCGCCGCTACGATTGGGTGTGTGGTGGGAGCGAATCCAAGAGCACTTCACAGAGTGCAGCCATGCTCAATTATGTTAATTCAGAGTGGACTACACTGTACGTGCAAGAGCGGGAACATCTGTGCACACTGACCCGGTGGTTGGCACTGCAGACGCTTTTTAGCTTGTCCGAACTTACATTACATGCAACTTGCGATAAACCACTGAACCAAAAGGCGTCATCGCGTTACGCAGGCAGTGGAAAGTAAGACGTTTGCATGTTTCTCTAACAACTCTTTTTTTTATGGCTTCACGGGCTGTTTTATTCTCACTCTATAGACTACAAGTAACGAAAAGCTTCGAGCTCTTTGACGCCCTCTTTCAACGCAGTCCTTATTTCAAAACAGCGTTAAACATTATCCCCATCAGATTCTTCGAAGAGTGTTTCGTAAGCATGTAATAGCAAAAGGATAACATAGGTTAGATGCAAAAGCATCATCGCGTTACGCAAGCAGTGTAAAGGTGAGCGTGTGCATGTTTCGCTAACAACTCTTTTTGTTGTTGTTATCACGGGCAGCTTTATTGTCACTCTATAGACTAGAAGTATACGGAAAACTTCGAGCTCTTTGACACCCTCTTTCAACGCAGTCCTTTTTTCCAGTCAGCGTTTGACATGATCCCCATCAAATTCTTTGAAGAGTGTTTCGTGAGCATGTGCAAGCGAAAGGATGACATAAAGTTTGATGCAAAGGCATCTTGTTACTCGGAAAGCAGCTTCCTTCTGGAGGGTTCAATGCGTGTTTGCCTACACACATGCGACTGATTGTTTTTATGTGGAAATGAGCAAGTCTCAATGCAACGCAAACTGGTATTTTAGTAATGAAACTCGGTGCACTATGTTTTGAATCATTTAACGGAATCAGCAAGCAAGTTGATGCTTCAATCGTTCATGCAGAGTGCAGCAACAGTTGTATTAACAAAGAACATTTGCCAGCCTACTTGTATAGCGCAAGCAGTGAGTGGTTCTGTTTCTCTGACACCAGCATATTTAACTCCATAATTTCCAAATGCTGTTGAAACACTCAAAAAACAAAGCACCAATAAACAAGTCAATATTTATTTCAACTACTCATTCAGCCGCTGAGACAGTTATCTGACGACCGAGTAAACTTGTAAAGTGTGATAAATAATTAGAACCCCGGCACTTCAGTAACTATACCCATGACTGGATATTAGCAGTAAGGCTGGCATTGCAGAATGAGGGCGTCGACGCAGCATATACGTACAAACATACTTGAAGAATTCTCTACCGAATTCACAGCCGCCACAGACCGCAAAAGAGAAAGAGACCAAATCCCAATAAGGAAATGTGTTAGACAAAAAAAAATACGATTCTCCTAGTGCTGATCCTCCAGTTTTTACGGAGATTTTCAAGACCCTACATTAGGATGTTTACCTATGAAGTAACGCACAGAGAGATTGTCGACACAGCATATACGTACCAACATACTAAAAAAAAAATCTATAACAAATTGACAGCCACCACAATTTCCAAAACAGAAAGAGTCAGAATCACCCCCAAAAAAGCGTGTTAGACAAACAGACAAGATTCCTCTAGTGCTAATCACTGATTTTTTACAGAGGTTTTTAAGGCCATACATTGAAATGTTTACGTATATAAATCAGTGCACAAAAAGAAGCACAGAAGCAATGAAAAGGACACCGCTGCAGTCACAACTAGATTGTTTCGCAGAAAAAAAACTTGGTTAATATACAACATAATAGAGTACAAGTGTCGCATTGACGATCAGGTTACAGCATATTTTCCAAAATGAAAAAATTGCAATCGCTTAAACCGACCATTGCTGTATGGGCTATTACAGTTCTCTTATCGTTTTGCGGTGTGGAATACCTCGATAAATTCGCTCATCATGCACCGGATCTCTGTGACTGAAAAATATTTTAGTCTAAGAAAACAGCGGATTGCAGTCACACTCTAAGCAATGCCGCCTAATGTAAGAGTAAGAATTACTTGCTAACGCTCTCTCCAGCTCTGAAAGCATGGTATTTACGCACCGGTCAGTTTGGTCGATGTAAATTTTTCAACATGACAAAGGCAAACAATATGCAAGCACAGCTCTAAAAACTACATACGTGGAGACATGCTTAACAGAGCACCGAAATCTATCAATTGCGCTGATAGCTTTCGATCTAGCCTGACACGAACTTTTCTGAGTTTGCTAAGCGCAGAAAAAAACATCATGTAGGCTGTATCCTCTGCTTGCATTTTTTTATATTACATAATATTTTGTCTGAATATGGTTTCGAGACAAATTTCTTGTTCTTTGCTTAAGAAACCTTATCTTTTTGATGCTGCTTTATAGACAAACCCCTGCGCACATATTTAACCAACTTCTGCGCAGATCTGCATCTGCGCAGATTATGCTTTTCGTAACCAGCACATTCTAGCATCCTTTCTATTGAAATCTAGCATCCTTTCTATTGAAACTAGCCTTAATTTGGTCGGGACAACACTTGTCTTTATTGTATAAGCCGGGCTATGTTTGCTTGCTATATAGTCCGCGATCAGAAAAACCCCTGCCTAACTACTCTTCCGTGCATTCAAAGACCGCAAAAGATCAGCATAGCGTACTTAGTCTCCACGTTGCCTTGGCGAAATCTTGTCCCGGCAAAATAGAGGATAGTTTAAATAGACAGGTTGCTATATTGACAAGCGCTGGTTACGAAAAAACATGTTCTGCGCAGATCTGCGCAGAAGTTCGTTTGACATGTGTGCAGGGATTTATCTATGAAGCAGTCTCAAAAAGATAGGGTTTCTGAAGAAAATAACAAATAATGTGTCTCGATATCATTTGCAAAAAGAATATCACATAATCTAAAGAATATATGCAGTAGATACGGTCTACGTGTTGGTTTTTCTGCGCCAAACAAACTCGGAAAAGTTTGTGCCACCCTGGATCGAAAGCTATTGGCAAAAAAGGATAGATTTCTATGCTACGTTAGGTATGTTTTAACGTTTGTAGAGTGTAGAACTGCCGTTGTATATTGTGTACCCTTGCATTGTGGAAAGTTGTACATCAGACAAACTGGCCGGTGCGTGAATACAAGGTTTTCAGCGCACAAGAGAGCGTTATAAAGCAATGCTTATTCTCACATTAGGCGGCATTGCTTAAAGTGTGACTGCACTCCACTATTTTCTGAGAGTAACATAGATTCCAGTCACAGAGATCAGGTGAACACGGAAATTATTGACGCAATCCGCATCGCAAAAAAGAGGATATTTGTATTAGCCAAGCATCGTTTGGATTAAGCGATTGCGAATTTTTCATTTTAAAAAATATGCTGTACCTGATCGTCATTGCAACACGTGGTACACTATCATGTTGTATATTAACCGCGTTCTTATTCTGTGAAAAAAAAAACTAGTTGCGAGTGAAGCGGTATCTCTTTAGTTCTCTTTGTGCATGTCGCTGTGTGCTGCTCCATAAGTAAACATGACTTCTCACCATCTAACCCAACTTTCGATGTGACTGAGCCTACATTGGGAAGAGGTGTGGATAAGAGCATTTTATATTGACCTTGCATTCGCTGATAACACTACGTTGATGAGTACTTGAGATGACGAATTACAACTTGATATTAAAGAATTAGACAAGGAAAGCAGAATAGCAGATTTGGAAATTTATATGCATTGGAAATAACATAAGTTGATAGGCTAAAGTAATATGCAGCAGTCACGGGAGAGATCAGCGCTTTTTGGTAGGTAGCGATACAGTGCAAGTAATAGAGGAATGCTTAGGGCAGGTCGCAGCTGCGGAATAAACTTGAGTGGCAAAGAGCGAGGCACAATAAAAAAAAGACTACACGAGTGCTCTCATCAAATGAATATTTGTAGCAAAAGGGTCATCAATAGACAAAGTGCTTAAACACTTCAGAAGGTACCAGCTATGGTAGAGGGACTTGCAGAAGCGTAATGCACTAGTCGAACTTGTTTAGGCAAGCAGTAAAAGCCATACTAACAATCAGAAAACTATGCTCATGTGCTGTTTAAAGACCACACGTGAAATTGGCAGATAAATGTTATTGCCATTCATACATTCTGAAGCAACTTTAATTATAAAGATTCTTAGAAGCCAGTGTAAAAAATCTAATCACAGTGAAGAAAATAAAGGGTTTCGCTGCGTATCTACGAACAAATGTTTGGAAATTTCATAATATACTGGACCTAATTAGAATAAAACCTCGTAGCATTAAAGCGCGTATATTTGTGGGGAGATGCTAGAATGACTTAAAAACTTTGGGCTTGTTTGGGATAGCTATCAAAATCAACCAAGCACAACAAAAACATCTTCTGTTTTTTTATTACTCACTCACACGTTTTTACATTTTAAAGCATGCTAAACACAGCGATGAAATTCATAATTGCACGTCTCGCTACACAAGCACGCACAGAAATACGAACTCGGTGGCACGCACAGTGCCCATGCAACCCTTACGGCACCGGTATTTGACAGCCAACAATTTGTCATGAATTAAATAATACCCAAGCTGCAGACGTCTCAGTTATAAAATACAACATGAATTAAGCTATGTAATGCATTTTACCCGCATTTCAATCACACAGACAACGGCGAAATGAGATTTCATTAGAAAATACAACATGAATTATGCTATGTGGTCCATTTTACCCGTATTACAATCTCACAGACAAATGCGAAACGAGATTTCACCATCGATGCGCATATTGTTGCTTGTTATGTGCACTCGGTAGCCATTATGCTATCACCCTTACTCCTATCACTTTCATTCTTTGCTTGCTTATTTATAGGGTGTTCTTGGAAACGACCTACCGATATTACTTCTACCCTTTCTACCACGCCATTTGCTACTTCATGGGCTGCATCGCCTTCCTCTCCTTAAGTTGGTTCAAGAGCAAGAAAATGTCTCATGTAAGTATGTGACGAAAACAAGCGACTGTTGCTAAAATTATAATATTATATGGTGTCATCTACCTGCTTTGTGCAAACTTGAAATCTTTTCGAACGTGATATATCCCTTGAAGCTTTTCTGGCAATACAGCTTGATCTTCAGGTCTGAAGAGTTGTGTTAAGCCTCATATATCCTTATTGAAAAACAAAACAGCATTTGCATGCAGTGTCTCCCAGTTCGCTGGGTGACACAAGAAACGTTGTACAGTATGTCCCCGTGTACTAAAGTGCTGGGAGCCACTGTGGCGCACAGTACAGTATGGCCAGTGTCCCCCAGTGCAATGAAACGCACTGAGCCACACTGTACAGCGTAGCCTAGTGTCTTAAAGTGCGCTGGGAGGCACTGGTCATGCTGTACAGTCTCTACCGCACACTGGGAACGTTAGTGGCACATTAGAAAAAAGTAGGTGCGATCGGCACGCTTTCTGTAAGACTTCATATTGAATTGCCAGATGTAGAGCGTGAAATCCACCGAATATGATGGTATTCTCATTTGTGTGCTATACATATATACCTTTAGTTTTAGTTAGGAAATAGACGACGAAATTACTTAGTATTAGAAAACGTCTGTCACTACTAGCCGTTTTTCGTTATTTTTTCCCCAATACCTGGGACGCTCTCCACGTCCCGCCTTGTGGCGATGGTAACGGCGACTTTTACAGGCCCACGTGGCCAAATGTCGGCGCCCTGAAGCTCTTATGTGGCTCAAGGTTTATGGTACAACAGCATCGGCGGTTCAAGGGATGCTCCTGCTCTCGTGCCCACAGATCCAGACGAGCCGACTGCCGGCCCGTCTGGCTACAGCTCAACATTTGTAAGCTCCGCAAGGAAACGAGGCTATTGGTGCAGCACCAGTGAAGACACAGATATCTACTCAGTCAATGGCGACGACTCATCGGATGACAGCTTCGTGTATGTGAGGAGTCGGAAGGCCAAAAGGAGGCTCACCAAGGTGACATCACCCTCAAGCACGTCAACCGTGAAGGCAAGAAGTGAACGCTGGCCGCATACCATCCTCTTCATGCCCGTGAATTCTTCCGTCAGCCTTCGAATATTGAACAGGCAAGCTATATCCGCTGTTCTTGAGAGAATAGCCCAATATGAAATCAAAGAGGTTCGGCTAAACACACGCGCGAACGTTTTAACTGTTGACACAGCGCAGGCAGGCACGCTGGAGAGGCTTTGATTGATGACAGAGTTAAGGGATGTCAAGGTACGAGTGGTTGTACTTTGACATCCCTTTGGCGGCTGGGACCTGCACTGCAGGAGTCATTTACGACATTTACTTGGTAATCCCAAACACGGATCTGCCGATTCTGATAAAACCGGCGTACGAAGGAGTGGTCATTAAGCATATAGGCCACCTCGTGAACCGCCGCTGCGTTAAGATAGTCATTAGGAGGACTCGATGCCTACGCACGCCAAGGTGGGATATTTCCGGCATGTGGTACAGCATTTTATCTCAAAGCCGCTTCAGTGCCATAATTGTTTCAAGACCGCCCTTGTAAAGGGCGTCTGTGCGATTGATGATTGATATGTGGGGTTTAACGTTCCCAAACCACCATATGATTATGAGAGACGCCGTAGTGGAGGGCTCCGGAAATTTCGACCACCTGGGGTTCTTTAACGTGCACCCAAATCTGAGTACACGGGCCTACAACATTTCCGCCTCCATCGGAAATGCAGCCGCCGCAGCCGGGATTTGAACCGGACGTCTGTGCGAAGTCTACCGTATGCCACCAGTGCGCAGAGTCACACATGATAGACACCTGTTGTGCAACAACTTATAGAAGCGGCTATTGTCGAGGTACCCATGAAGCCACATCTAAGAAAGGCCCAAGATTCAAGAAAGAATTCGGTATTCTAATACAAATGGCTAGGGAAAACTGCAACCATAGAGCAGCTTCACAGAAAATACGTCGTCGACGTCGCCAGTGATGAAAGTACTCCAGTCACGGTGATGTTCATGCACCACTTAAGTCTACACCACCATCAACATCTTATACAAAGCCGGAGGGCACAAGACTACCTCCACAGGCGAAGCCTGCCTCCCCTGAAGACTGGCTGGCGCTTGCAAACGCACTGCCTTCTAAGCGGCCTCCCCGCTCTCTGCTTCCAGTGAAAGCCAATGCTGCTGTTGACGAAGCTTCGACAGCAGATCGTCAAATTATTCCTCTGCTGCGATTTATTGTGAGTGTCATCAGATGCCTTCCGACAAGCATTGACACGCCAACTGCTACGAGTGGCCTAGAAGTCCTGGACGCGGGAAGCCCGGTCCTCGCAAGCCTCCAGTAAAACCACGGCCGACAATCACAAGTTGTTTCGACAAGTGGTGAGAGAGAGAGAGAGAAAACATTTATTGAAAGAAGCTAGTGAGTGAAGGTGGGAGGGTCCCTTATTCCAGGAACCCTCTGGCTTGGACAACCCGCCGAGCTCGAGCGACGAGTTGACGCTGCTCGACCAGGTCCGGCTGGGAGATCGCAGCCTCCCACGCTTCACTGAGGAAGTCTTGGTCCGCATCTGGTGCTGCTGCTCGTAGTCTTAGGACGCTTACTTTGCACTGCAGTAGGAGGTGCGCCAGAGTGTCTGCCACGCCCCGCCGCGGTGGTCTAGTGGTTAAGGTACTCGGCTGCTGACCCGCAGGTCGCGGGTTCGAATCCCGGCTGCGGCGGCTGCATTTCCGATGGAGGCGGAAATGTTGTAGGCCCATGTGCTCAGATGTGGGTGCACGTTAAAGAACCCCAGGTGGTCGAAATTTCCGAAGCCCTCCACTACGGCGTCTTTCATAATCATATGGTGGTTTTGGGACGTTAAACCTTACATATCATCATCATCAGAGTGTCTGCCACACTGCAGTGAGGGCAGATGTAGCTGTGCAACGTTGGCCTCATATGGTGCAATAGTACGCCGTGTGTGAACGTGTTGCTTTGAAGACGCCTATAGTCAGTCCCTTTGTCTCTTCTGAGTTTTGGATGTGGCGGTGGGTATAACCTGCGTTCGAGACGATGATGTTGCAGTAATCCATGGTGAGTGGTGAGAGAATCATCGACTTTATGTGGAACACAAGAGATCTCAGATCTCACATCTCTGATTTCCGTCACTTAATTCGTCTACAGCGATTTCCTATCACGGTTATATGTCAACTGAATTTATTGCATCTAGTCAGACTATCCAGCTACGAGTCATTTTTCTCATCAAATGACAACAAAAGCAGCAATGTTAGTGTATTAATTTGCCGAGAGCCTACTTACGTCGTCTACCCAGTGCCACCTCACGACGACCGTCAGTAAGAGTGCTTAACTGTTAAAAAGGGAAAGGTGACATTTACACTTCTAGGTGTGTATATATCTCCATCAAGTAGATTCGACACCAACAAAATGAACAGCATATAAGGGCACATCTGAGTCGATGGGTTATCACCGGGGACTTCAATGCACGTCATTCCATCTAGGGAAGCTCAAGGGTCAATTCCACGGAACGACGTCTAGCGTCATTGGCTTCCAGCCATGGTATCGTTCTTCTGAATGACGCAAGTCCTACGTTTTTGCGAAGCACCAAATATAGCAGCTCTCTTGATTTGTCTTTTGTTTCACGCTGATTCGCTACACGAGTAAATTGGTTTTTGAACATTTAAACGCATGGAAGTGACCACAACCACACTTTCCTGAAGATCAAAGCTATTTCGAACTCATCTACAATGACACGAAAAATGGATTGGACTATGTTCAAAACTGAACTTGAGGATGCTTGTGAGGACGGCATCTTCCTTGGTCTTCAGCAAGCAATTAACGAAACTTCACATGCGGCCATGTGCACAATAATATGGTCTCCAAAATACTCTGAATTTGACCTCTAGACAGAGACTTCGTGCGATCCGCCGTGGTGCTGAAAGAAGATACCAACGTACCAATTCCACAGACAATCTATGAACAGCTCAGCACATCCAAAAGAAGATACAACAGCAGCTCCACATATCAGACAACCAACAATGTAGGAAATTCTGTGCGTCGCCAGATCCTCATAAACCACTTTCTCAGATATGGAGAACTGTGCGAGGCGTACGTTCTGTCCCAGAAAAGCACTTTCCTTTCAAAGCCCTTGCACTTTTCCACGACCGACATTAAATTGAGCTATAGAAGAAAATTTCTCCGTTATAATTGCGGGCCAGTCAACTTACGCAAGCCTGCATACAGTGAACCATATACCTAACTCACGAGTCCCGCACTTAGATCTACCGTTTACACCACAGAAGGTTGATGTGGTGCTCGTCCTATGGTATAGGTCGTCGTTGACTGGCCCCGACGGCATTTCTTACCGGATGTTGTGCCACCTTAGTGGACGGGCACGAGAATCACTCCATAACATCTTCAACAAATTCTAGCAAGCTGGCGTTGTTCCACAAGATTGAAAGATTAGCCGCTTTGTACCGCTCCTTAAGCCTGGCAAAGCTCCCCTGAACATTACCTTTTACCAACCGATCACACTTTCAAGTTGTGTTGGAAAGGTAATGGAGAGAATGATCTTGGCCAGGCTTGAATGGTGCCTTGAATAATATCTGAACGCCATGGCTGGTTTTCGCCGTCACCAATGTTTTATCTACAGTGTTATACATCTTGTCATGTATGTCTAGCATCAAAAGACATGTAAACGATTATCTGCAGCCACGTTCCTTGATGTAAAAGGAGCATACGACAACGTTCTTCATGAAGCCGTCCTCGAAGCCATTGAGTCAGTGGGCCTAGGTGGACAACTGTGTTATTGGACACGCTGTTACTTACAAGAGCGTACCTTCTTTATGAACACTGTTGATGATCCAACCTCCAAACAGCTCACGCATCGTGGAGTTGCACAAGATGGCGTGTTCAGTCCAAACCCCTTCAAGGTCGTTCTCATTGGTTCTTGAAGGACTTCGAGTGTGGTCAAGCTATCTATGTACGCTGACGACCTCTGCGTCTGGGCATCTGGCGTGACAAGAACTCAGGTTCGTGAAAGGCTTCAGAAAGATGTGACGTTGGTATCAATGTACCTCAATGAACAGGGTCTGAAAATCTCACCAGCAAAATGTGCATTGATTGCTTTTAGTCGAAAGCCAATGACACCATGCGCTCTATCTATTGATGGCCAGGTCATACCATATCTCAGGACGCACAGATTTCTAGGCGCATTCATTGATAGAGACCTCTGCTGGGGCCCAGTTGAAGAAGAGGCTTACAGACATTGCCAACTTTTTAAGTATCTTGGAGGAAAAACCTGGGGGACTTCAATACATGCATTGATGCAATTGTTCGAGATGCTTTTTATCAGCTATTTGCGATACAGCTTGCCTGTGTTGACAAATACCTGCAGAACCAGCATTCACACTCTCGAAAGCATCCAGGCTATGGCTCGGCGAGTGTGTCTGGGGCTACCACGATGTTCATCAACAGCCGAGACAATCGCGATCGCAAGTGACTACCCGCTCAAGATGCGCATTGTAATAGAAGTGCTCGGAGCACACGTCAGGCATCTTACTCGCACCCCTACTCATCATCCAGCCTCACTGCCGCAAGAACGACCTCGTGCCTCATTTTGCCAGACAGTCCTGTCGTATCGCACACGCATACCCACGGGATATACAACTCTGACAACTCTGTCCTGAATTTCAACTCCCCCATGGTGTATGACTCATCCACATGTTGAACTCATTGTTCCAGGCATACGGTCAAAATCCCGGCTCTCGTTTCCAGCACTAAAGCAGCTTTCGCTTCTTTTATTGTATGACAAGTACAGTGAGCAAAACCATCTTTACACTGACGCTTCAACTAAAGTGGATGAGTCTGCAGGCTCGGTGATCTTTCCTGCAACACCAACAACAACGAAAATTCAGTTATCCCACCAGACGTCCGTGACAGCTGCAGAGCTTGCAGCTCTACGTAGTGCAGTTAACTTCATTAAACACCAAAAAGCCAAAAAATGACGCGTTTTCACGAACTCCAAGGCAGCCCTGGGGAGTTTCGAATTTGCCTTACGCAGGGGAACTCATGAAAACTAGTGCTGGAAATTCCAGAGCTGCTTCACCACATCTTCGTTGAAGGACAGGAAATTACGTTTCAGTGGCTTCCAAGGCAGTGCGGCATATTAGGCAACAAACATGCCGATGCAGCTGCTCAATCAGCACACGAACATGGTGAAGAAGAATCTATCCCATTTCCAAGGATCGATGCTGCAATAAAAATCCAAAAAAGCGCTAATGAATAAGTAAATTGCTTGTGGAACGCTGAGTGCTTTCGGCACACGCGACTGCATAGGCTAGACACGTCTCGTCGACCTCGGCCTCTGTCCGGGCTCTCTCGACTTAGGACAGCGGTGCTTTGCCGTCAGTGGCTTGGTTCCGCTTTCAGCAAAGTTTTCACCTTCCGAATCGGCATGGAAGACAGTGCTGCTTGCGATAATTGCGGCAGGGATGAAACTATAGAGTACGTTCTTTGTCACTGCCCTCATTACACCATGCAAAGACGGCAGTTAGCTGATGCGTTAGCTCATCTTGACGACAGACCTTTGTAAGTTCAATCAGTTGTTGAAAAGCGACAAGATCTGTCTTCGTACAAAAAATCAGTGAAGGCCTTATTGAACTTTTTGCGTGGTAGTGGCCTAAGTATTAGCTATAGCACCCAAGCTCACCTTTTTTTTCTTTTTCGTGCGTCTATTTCGCTCATCGCTTCATTTCCCATCTTTTTCCCCATTCCCCCTTCCCTTAGTGCAGGGTAGCAAACCGGCTGCTACAATTTTTGGTTAATTTTCATGCCTTTTCCTCATTTTGTTATCTCTCTCTTCCTCTCTCTCTCTAGGCAATGAATGTGCGGGTACGCTGAAGCAATTATCTGTCGGGGGTGCGGGTCAAGGGCACCGCCAGGATTTTGCGGGAGCGCACCAACGACAATTGTATTCCTGTAGAGAGCACGGAGGCACAGAATTTATATGTTGTGTTTTCACTTGCATATTCTTGGGGGGGGGGGGGGGGGAGGAAAAGGAAAGGAGCTCCTGGCCGCAGATTTTGCCAGTGGAGTTGACGTCATCGTCACCGTGAACTACTATATATATATATATATATATATATATATATATATATATATATATATATATATATATATGAAAACGCAATAAAGAAAAAAATCCTGAAAAAGAACTGTGGCACGTGCAATCGAACGTGAAACCACCGAGTCATGACTGCGAGGAGTTTACCACTGAGCCACGGAGAAGCACGTCCTTAAACATTCAAACGACAAGCTATTTATATCTACCATTTACCGCTGGTAATGGGCATCTCGAGAGAAGGGATATACAGTGTTTGCAGCATTACCAGTAAGATGGCGCCGGAAGCACGTGGTGGCGCGCGCTTTCTTTTCCTGTGTGTACTTTGCCCCACAGAAAGGAGAAGGTGGACGCTCACTCGAACGTCTTTATCTCGCAGTGGGGAGGATCGTACGTCTTGGCTGGCTTGTGGCTTGCATGGGATTGATTATGTTGTAGCTACTAGGCGCACAAAGTTCACCACAATCGTTGCAAACTCTTCGTCGTCCCCAGGATTCCGGCCCACGCGCAGGAGACGCGCTTTCCCGCACGGTGGGGGCGGGGCCCCGTGTTACTCTATGGGACGGGAGAGAAAAAAAATAATAACTCCTCTCCCTTTCTGATTTTCTCATTGCTTTCACGGTTTCAAGTAGCAACTGCATGAACCTTTCTTCTGCCGGAGTTACAGTATTGTAGTTGAAATAGTGCGAGTTCCCTAGCTTATTAAAAAATAATGCACAGCGCCTATGGGCGCTCTCAGAAATATCGGCTGTTTTACCGCATTTGAATCGCTACCGTAGAGCCGTGCTTGAAGATATCCAATTGCTTTCTGGGATTTAGGTACTGGCATATGTCTAGTTCATGATGGTGTAGAGCGTGTTTGAATCGCGTGGTAAAAAAAAGTTCCCTGGCCAGTTTTGTTGAGGGTGCGACAGCCGTCAAGCCCTCGTAGCTCCATCTAGCGTTGAGATGGTGTACTCTACGGTGCCACGAAAATATTAAAATAGGGTACGCGTAAAAAGAGAGGATTCTTATGGAAGGCACATTCATGACCATGTAAAACAATATTTAGTGTTAGTTGAGGTAAAGATCAATAGTATAGAACATCAATACGGTACTTAAAAAAAAAGACGAAGTGCGCGTTTCCGAACAGTCAGTGTATGTACCACATAGACCCCTCAATTTACAGCACATTCTCGAGTTTTACAGGTTCCATAGTAGTTTTAGGTATCTGCTAATTAGTTAATTAGTGTTAATTAACGAATGCATCTTAGGTTAGGCTTTGAAAGCGCGAGTAATATTCACCGGGCGCGGTTTTACGGATGGTGGTATCAACCCGCCGTCTGCGCCGCTTAAATCTGGCAGACCTCTGGGATCCGTCCTCGGACCTCTTTTCGGTTTATATCAATAATGCCACCCGTGATATAGCAGCAAATCTAAAGCTTTTTGCGAATGCCTGCGCGCTTTAAAGTAGTTAACGCATCCAGTGACCAGGTTCTTTTAAATAACTCTTTTAAGATTCAAGATTTGTGCACAAAATGACAGATGACCTTTAACGCGAGAAAAACTCTGGTGATAACCATGACCTGAAAAAAAGATCTACTAACATTCCAATACAACCTAGGCAATCAATTTTTGTCCTTTGTCTCACAGTATATGCACCTTAGTCTTGTTATCACATCTACATTAGGATGAAACCAACATGTTTGTTAAACTGAGAAAATGGCTTTGAATATACAACGCTACTTACGGGCACTCGCTATGGCATTCGGCAAACCGAGATGTGAAACGAACGTAATACCAATATTAGAATATTCATCGGCTGTCTGGGACCCGCACACGCAAGCTAACACAGATAAACTTGAATCAATACAGCGAAAAGCTGTAAAATTCATATTCAATACGTAAATGTAACACATCTCCGTCAGTTCTTCTGGAAGGCGCTAAACTAGAAACCTTGGAATGGAGACGTTATCGCGAAATAACGAAGCTGTTCTATCGCATATATAATAATGAGCTGGCAATACAAAAAAAAAAGTCTAATTATATCGAACCAATTTTGCGCCACGAAACGCGTGCCTCCAATCTCGAAAGAGTGACTGAGCCCCTATATACACGTACCTTTTTTTTTCGAACAAGCAGAGAGTGGAACAATACGCCGCCAGAGATTCTTGTAAGTGTCGATCTCAACTAGTTTCTTTGTGCGTTAGCTGTTCACATGGCTTATAACTACACCTTCATATATATTACAGTACACTTTATTCTAATACCCATCTTGATCAGACTGATTGCTTGAGGTTCAATGCCTCGCTTCTGCACGATTCTTAAATTCTTCGATTCTGCAATGTCTCGCTTCTTAACATTGCCGACTTTATTTTTGATACAGTTAATATTTGAGTTCTTTTTACTTTTTACCCAAACAAAATAACCTAGTGGACACTGGGTTTATAGTTTTTGTTTTGTTTAGTGTATTATGGCCATTCTTGGGATTGTGGACCATGTTTTATGTTGCTTCTTTTTTTTTGCGTTTTGAATCATCGCGCTTTCATTCAACACTATCTATACTGCTGTACCTCCTACACAATGTTGCGTTCACTGCGCCACACCCCTGCCCAATGTCCGGCACTAGAATGCCACTTTTTCTCTGAAATAAATAACAAATATTTAAATAAATAAATTCACTTTCTTTTTTTCAATGCGCACCTCTCCAATTTATTGATAGAAATTTAAAATATTAACGGAAGTAAGTTAAAAGAGAGAGATATAATGCTGAAAGGTGGGGAGGTTGAATTTGTTAGGAACTAATAACCCTATTTGCACTGTGTTATGTCCATGGTAGCCATAATACCAAGCGTACGTAACAGGGAACTGACTTTATTACTTTCAAGAAAGGCATTTGCGCGCAGCATGGTCCAAATGGTCCAAGCGCTGGCTTTCGAGTCTACTGTGGGCCATAAAAGGGGCGAGGAGCACAATGAACAGGCAACCAGTGCGCGGGCGCACTGATTGCCCTGATAGTCCGTCACTCCCCGGGCGCGCGGCGTCCAGTATCGAGGGGGAGGGGGGGGCGGTCAAGGTGGAGGGCAGAGTGCATCCTTGCATCCCTGGAAGCGGCAATGCCCGGTCTAAAGCCTCTCCATGCGCTTTCCGGTAGAAGACGCGATGAAGGGGCTTTAACTTCAACAAACCAAAACTCCGGGTGAAACTTTTTTTTTTTTTTTTTTACGATAGCTGCCGTTCATTCGGGCATTCTTTGAAACTGGCGGGCGACCACTGGTTGTCGTTTCTGGAGCTACCGACAACGCGAGGCGTCTTCCTAATCTGGTGTTACCTTTGAAGGCGGTTCTGGCAGAATGGCTGAGATGTGTGTTCGCAGCTCGCAAGAAAACATGAGATTCGCC